TTAACAGTATTATTTAGCCTGATTTACATATCATGGTTTAATAGAGACAAAAAATCAATGGTTATAATTTATTCACCTATTGATTTATTTTTTGTATCTATGTTATATCCTTAAAGGTTGTACATGTAAGCAAAAACTGCAAAATCTGTCAAAATATAAATTGATATCTTCTAAAATGTATTTTGAAATGGTTTGCAGGCTTACTCTGAAAAATGGTAATGTTAACTTAATAACATTAACTATTACATATGTGAAACAAAGTATTTACCTCAACACATTTCTTGGGTAGTACATTAGATGTCCATTTTGCTAATTTTACATCAATATTGGTATTTAATTCTCTGGAATAGGAAAAATCTTTATACTGTGTTGTTAACATATAATGGATTATATCAATAAATAAACTTAAACAAGCATTCTGAGAGTATAGCATGGCAATACATAGTCCCCTACCGGTTAAAAATTCATTGTACTGGAACAAACTGCTAATTTGATCTATAACTTGTCATGGTGTTAAGTATATAACAAATATCATGTCAATATCTTCAAGCATGACGAAAAAAAGTGAAGAAAACTGATTATTTAAGTGAATTTTCGAAGTCCAAGGACCATAACTCTTCACAAAATCATTAAACCGGAACAAAATTCGAACATGATCTGTAACTTGTCATGGTAAAACAATAAACCAAATATCAAATCAATATCTTCAAGCACAAAGCAAAAAAGTGTGGAAAACTGATTTGCCGGACTGACGGATGGACAGGCAGACAGACAGACAGACAGAGTGCAAACCTAAAGTCCCCTTAGGTAGGTAGGGGACTAAAAATAAAAGTGCAAACGCTGAAATGTATAGCCTGCTTTACTTATCATGATTGAATTTATGTTGAAAGTGTGTTATATGAAGGTTTTACTACAAGTATCACATAAACTTCAAATAATCAATGATCAATTTAAACAAGGTCAAGGTCAGATGTACACTGCTAGACAACATGAACACTATGCAATCATTCTATAAACCAAATATACATGCAGTTGACATCTTCCTTATAGTATCTGATTAATGGAGTAAACAAATGAAACTCAACATTGACTAATGAATCATGAAAATGAGGCCAAGGTCAGATGAACCTTGCCAGGAAGACATGTACATCTTACAATCCTTCCATACAATAAATATAGTTGACCTATTGCTTATATTATCTGATATACAAACAAAACCATAAAAACTTAACATTGACCAATGAACCATGAAAATTAGGTCAAATTTACAATCATTCCATACACCATATATGGTTGACCTATTTCTTACAGTATCTGAGATATGGTTTGACCAAAAAAACTTAACCTGGACCTATAATCCATGAAATGAGGTTGAGGTCAGGTGAACCCTGTCTGATGGACATGTAGACCTGGCAAAAACCCATACACCAGATAGTTATCATATTATTCATAATAATTTTCATAAATTGAGGAGAAATTGTATTTACGAGGATATTTAATTTAATGGTTTTAGGAAGTATGTGTACAAGCCTAAAGATGGTATGTGTGCTTCTCTGAAGATTTGATTTTGATTTTTGGTGTTTTAACCCCACTTTTAAGCACCGCTTTTGGACTATTTCGTGGCGGCCAGTTTTTATTGGTGGAGGAAGCCGGAGTGCCCGGAAAAAACCACCGACCTTCTATAGGAAAACCGACAATCCTAGTCAAATAAGTAACACATTTTTATGGAAAAACTCAAGATTTGTCTATAAAAACTGTATTGCATGTTCTTGTAAAACAACTATTCCAGCATTTATTGCAATCAAGTTCATAAGCTAGTATGTGTGCTTTTCTTTTGTCTTTTATTTCTTTGTGTAGAATTTATACCTTTCAAATGCTATCACCATCTGTTATATAGCTGCAGTGGATTTAATATGTTTTTTTTTATATAGCCTTAAAAAGTAAAAGCCAGTATTACCCTAAGTTTTGTGCCTGTGCAGCAGGTAGATAAATATTCTCAAATATGTAAGGTGCATTCTTATCCCAAATTTTCTTAGAAAATGCATCCTCCCTGCAAAAACAAAACAACATTAATATATACCAGAAATAATTTGTTAACTTTTGTTAAATAATTCAATAAACTATGTCACAGGTACTTAGGTAGATATTATACAAGTGTTATGAACAAATATTTTGGAATATTTATATGTTTATCTTTCTACAACATATAAAAGGAGTAAAGAATTCAATCAATGTATTATTATAGCACCTTCTTATAATACAATTATGCAGAGGCTAAGAATGGGAGCCCAATTTGAATACTTAGAATATTTCTTCTAATAATGATGATTAAGTCATTGTTGATGATTGATTGATTGGTGAATAACAACACTTTCAGCACTATTGGCTATTTCATGGCGGTCAGTTTTTATTGGTGGAGGAATCCATAGTGCCTGGAGAGAACCACCTACCTTCCGCAGGAAAACTGACAATCATTGTCAATTGTCAATTAAGAGTGGAGTCAAGTGCACCTGCCACAACCGCAGTGTTGACCGGCTAGTGAAACAGTAGTTGAACTACTCAGCCAACAAGGCCCCAAGTCTTTTTTGATAAAAGTGGACAACAACAATACAAATGCAGTTGTTTCATGAGCCTTTTGTCTAAAATACAACTCATTTTCAGTGGATGTTTATTGCATAACAAGTGGTTATTTTTTTGTATTGCAACAAACATAAGGCTACATTTATTTTGCATGAAATAAATAGTTATATTTTGCTTCACAGCTCAGTTATCTCATAAGACCTTTAGAATGAATAAATTACATGTGTAAAAGTGATTTACCATTCTTTTGCTGTAACTTGACTTAAGTTGATTATTTCATCTAAAATCTCCCCTTTAGCTTTTTCAAATAGCTCCGTCTGTAATGAAAAATAGTGATAATGAAGAAAGATGTAACAGTACAATAAAATATAAATACATTTCGTGAAACTTCTGAAATAGGACTACAAATCATTGACATCTGATGTGTGCTTAATTGATTGATTGATTGGTGTTTAACGCCACTTTCAGCAATATTGTGCTATTTCGTGGCGGTCAGTTTTATTGGTGGAGGAAGCCGTAGTGCCTGGAGAGAACCACGACCTTCAGTAGGAAAACTGACAATCCTAGTCAATTAAGATTGGAGTCAGTATTGACAGGATAGTTACAATGTAGTTAGACTACTTAGATCACTCAGCCACAGAGGCCAATGATGTATGCTTAAAGACATACATATAATTCAAAGCATTTGATTTGTCCAATACTGTAAACATGAAAATTTTCATCAAGTAGGTCTTAAACAATGAATTTAAGATTCCACATCAAGTACATTTTCACTAAAAGAACATTCAGAGAATCATTTTTTATAGCATCTCAAGCGATGACCATTACATCTGTACTCATTCAAAAGTTTTTTAGTTTGTGTGGTTGTGTCATTTTTGTCTTGATTTACTTTTTTTCCCTAAGTAATAACATGAGATGTCTTTATCAGTAATTTAAGTCAATTTCATTCAGAAATAATACTAACCCTATCTAATTCTCGTAACCTTGGGAATGTATTCTTCCATTCTGTTTCTAAATTAAATCTTTGAGCTGCAATTCAAAGTATACTCATGAAATATTTATAAATGGCATTTGAAAGCAATCATTATTTTACCATTGATGTATGAGTTCCTTTTCAGACAATGGTTTCACACTTTATTTTTTTTCTTTTAAGTTTTTAAAAGTTTGAAAATTGACTACAAATAAAACTTCATATCAATATTTTTCACTACCTGGTAGTAATTTTAACTAACAAACAAAAGGTTCTTTGTGACTTTTGTCTTTATATCACTTCGTCTTGTAGTTAGTTGTTTTTGTGCTAAGTACCAATCTGGTAGGACAAGCCCTAACTGTTTTTTACAGTTCTATGTTATGTTGTGTTGTTTTACCACTGTCCCAGATCAGGAGGGTTGAGCCCCAGCCAGAAGCCTGTAATCCAGTTGCTGACTGTTGTACTTAAATTTCTTTTATTGTATTAGTATAAATTATTTGATTAGGGACTTTCTGTTTTGGATTTTCCACTGAGTTCAGTATTTTTGTGATTTAACTTTTTTATAGATTTTCTCTTTTGAATAGTTTGTTACCTTGAAAGTTAAAAACAACTAACACTTATACAGGTCATAAAACATATCCCAGCGGGCACATGACGTTGTTTCAACGTTGAAAAATCGTTGAATTTTGGTTGACTTCAACGTTCAACGTTGATTCAACGTAATTATTTTCAACGTCGAATATTTAACCACAATTCAAGGTTGATTCAACGTCTTAATTTCAACAGAAAGTTGATGTTGATTCAACGTTGAAATTTCAACAGAAAGTTGATATTGATTCAACGTCTTATTTTTCAACGTTGAAATTTTAACAGAAAGTTGATGTTGATTCAACGTCACTTTTTCAACGTTGAACCAATATATATATGAAATATATGATATGCATTAATCAACTATTCAAATCTGTTTTACTAATGAATTAAGTTTGGAAATTGAAGCAGGCAGTGGGATCAAGTGGGAGGGGGGATTGGGGGGTTGGAACCCCCCTCCCCCCTTTTTTTTGGACGATAAATGTATTTGTCAGTGGAGGATCCAGAAATTTTCATAAGTGGGGGCCATCTGACTGCCTAAGAGGGGCCTGCTCCGGTTAAGCTTCAGAGATTCCCTATATAATCAACCAATTTTTTCCCAGAAAAGGTCAAACCACCAGAACCGTACCCTCCCCCTCCCCTTTCCCCTTTTTGATCCGCCAATGAACCTTGCATGTTTTCTGATAATCATTTCTACAAAATAAAATATATTTCTTCCATATAAAGGGTTAAAACAATATCCAAACCATTGTAATAATTTAAAATAAAACAAATTTACGGAGATATATATATATTTATTTGAAATAATAATTTTAAACTTTTCCTGCTCTTAAAACTTTGCTACTCGGAATATCACGGAAATGCTTCCGAAAGTTCGTGCATGTCGATTAGCGCCTTATTCAAAGAAACAACATTTGTTTACCACTCGAGAGAAACTGAAACAAGAAAAAACTATTCTACAACGTTAACAGCGATGGCAGAGGGTAGCATGAGACAAGAACACAGAAGTGAACAATCTGTACGTTATTTTATTGTTACAAATTTTTAAGTACATACGCACTTGTGTTTCTATCAACAGATCGTACATGAATATAAATCCATGCAGTGCCCACATCATGGTACATGAACACGTGGTTTACACATAAAAAAGTATTTACTAATTGATTCTGAGCACATACCTATAGGCTATTTATAATTGACAGGTGCATATAAAACAGTTGAAGGCCTGACATTCACTTCCAGTGTCGTATCCAGTATTTTTTATAAAAAAAAGGGGGGGGGGGGAGGCTGCTCCATATGTATATAAACCAAATGTTCCCATGAAAGGGTGGCCCTGACATTCTGGTTGTACCTATTTTTATAAATAGTCGTGTCCATGAACCAATCCCAGCAAAACTTACTAATACCATTGTCTATAGGAGATTTTATTTCTTGTCTGTATCGAGTTTCTATAATACACCTTATCGCTAATCCCGCTTGACCCGAGAATCAGTCCCGCTCGAACTTTTGACGTCATACAACAATCACTTTTCCATTGTGGCGTCAGATATTTTCTATTATGACGTCAAAATTTTACGGGAACTTGTGTGATGTCCAGTAATGGCGGACAAATAGCGATTAGGTGTATGATTTTCCATGTATCGCTGTTTATACTTTATATGCAATTTTATATGCATTTAAATGTTTGTCCTCAATTACAGGTTTATTCTGTTATTGCTCTGTTTGTGCATGATTTGGTGATACATATATATAGCATGTTTTGCTTATGTATATTTACTTTAAATTATATATATTATCTTTAACTGTTAAAACCTGATTTGACCTTTTCTCGGTAGATTGTTCTGTGGTTAATTATAAACTTTTACACATCTATTTATTTTTTAAAGGATTTTCCCCAACGTAAATGATCTGTGGTAATCAACTGGTCGTCTATGAATTTCTTTAATTTGATGATATTACACCTGGTGTTTCGGATATCATTTAGGTCAAGTTCGACCAAGGCCGTTCATCCTTGTCAGGTGCCCTGGCCTAATTTATTTTTATTTACTATAACATTTGATCATAATTACTTTTAAATTGTTATCAATATGTTTCTATCGTGTAATGTATCAAATGCAGTTACATTTTGGGGGCACTACACCTGGTGAATCTGTAATACACTTATAGTTTAATGTCCATTCTTTATTTAATTACTTTATAATTTTGCCGAGATCAAGTACTCCTTCACATTCTTGTGTTTACGATAAGCAATGATAGGCGGTCTTGGAAATAGATGTTTAGCAGTCTCGTCATCTTCAATCAAATGCCAGTGTTTTCTTATTCGTCTTCCCAACTGCTTAAATAAAGGATTAAATTTTGTTGCTATGACTAGTGGTGGACTTTTCTGTTTGTTTTTTGTTTTATAACATAATGTATTTTGCCTACTTTTTCGTAGTCCTGTATTAACTAGTGGATTAATTTCATTTTCCTTTTGTCCCCTGATTATAAGCTTGTGTTTAAATAGTTTGTTTTGTGTGTCGAGGTCATCTTTGTTATTACATGATCGAATGAACCGTGTAACTTCGCCTATTTTAAATCCCTTAAATACAGAGGCGGGATGAGCTGATGATTTATCTAAATATTGGAAGTTATCCGTAGGTTTGCGATATAATTTGATATCTAATATTTGTTATGTTTAATTTGTCGTTTGTTTTCCACACATGTCTTTCCTGTAAATTTCTCCTTTCTTTTGTACTTTACCAAAATTAAAAGGGATATGTAAATAGTATCATATTAAAAGTAATGTATCGTATTTAATCACAACTATGGATTTGGAAACACAACATTTTCAACAATTGTACTTGTATCATCCTGATTATACCCTTTTTATATTTTCTTAAAAAAAATAAGTTAAGAAAACTATGATTTTGAAACAGGTAACAAAAAATTATGAGGGAAAGACTACAAGCCTAGAAAAGAGTTAACACTACAAATGCAAGAAAAGAACATGTAGAAATTGAAATTAACTAGCAAATTTTAACAGCAAAAACATCCAAGATGTCTGGTAAAAATTATTTGATAAACTCGATGCATTTTCATATTGTAAACTGTAAAATAAAAAACATCTTACATCTGATTGTGATTTTTTTTTATTTAGATGCATATATTTTTTTCAGGGTCCTCCATAATTCTTTGATGGCCAAACTGAATATCAGCTGGAAAAATGGCAAAATTTCATTTGGTGCCTCAAAGTTGTTCACAATAATTCTTGGTAAGTTGCATTATTTTAAATTCTATATTAGCAAGTAACTCGCAAAATTCACTGGAAAATAAATTTGAAACTATGTTCATCCTTACCAACTCCAAGACTACATTAATTTTTAATTATCCTCAGTAGCTGTATGAACTTTTATGTGAAATGAATAATTTTTGGCTTTCTGTGTTTTAATTGTTACTATGTTTTTTTATAAACAGATTGTGTCTCAGAGTCCTTTCCTGAGTCGGTTGAAGCAACAGAAATTGGATGAAGAGTCCAGGTTCCTGAAATATGCCCCTGAAAGGCACGGAGGTGGAGGGAGGAAAGAAAAAAGAAAGCGACAGGATGAGGACATTTCAAATTTCATTCCAGATGCTCAAAATAAATAAATGCTCTATTCATCTTGTTTTTAATGACTTATATTGACTAAATAATTGTATGGCAGGTTAGGTCAAACCAAAGATTTTAAAATTGGTATTTGCCGCTTTTCCGCCAAACATATAGCATTTAGGAGTGGTTAGCCCAGAATAATGTGTCTGGGTAAGGTGACATGTGTGAACTGTTAGTGAGCTAGTACATTAAAAATCCTGCTCGGCATGTCTGCTCTCATGTTTGTCCTGAATATGCATTTGACTTTCATCCTAATCAAATATTTTAGTAAATGTCCTTCAATCTTCTTTTTCTCTAAAAAGTGTGTGGTCGCCTTTTTTCATGTCGTGACACTAGGAAAATTCAAAAGAAACCAAGAAATTTTGAGGTAATAATTAAATTTCAACCAATCATTTGCAGAGAACAGATATTTCACTAAATATTTTTTCTCACACTGATAAAAAAATGTGAAAATAGCACAAACATTAGAGAAACTAATTATCAACATTCTCAACGTTGTATCAACTATGAATTTTCAACGTTGAATCAACGTTGATGTCTAAACGTTGATGCAACGTTGTATTTTCAACGTTGAAATGACCTTTCATTTTCAACCTATAATTCAACGTTGATTCAACGTTTCAGCATGACGTTGTTTCAACGTTGAAGCAACGTTGATGTGCCCGCTGGGATACTCTTGCACCAATTTCAAGATCTATCAAGACATAATTTTTTTATTTGTATTCTGGTTGGGTTGTCTCAGTAAAATATACCCTACATCTATCTTGATTAATTCAAAATAGATATGAAATCTTCAAACAAATTGTAATGCATGAATGATGCAATTTAATTCTGTAAAGCAGAATTTTCAGGATAGTTTTTTAACTAATTTCATGATCAAGATAATATTGCAAAAATATCCCCTTCCTGTAAATTTCATGTATAAGGAAAATGAGAGACAGTAACAAGAAAAACATGAAAATAAAACATTGTAGTCAGATTATGCATTAAAAATCATGAAATTTAAACTCCTCCAATTGAAACCCCTTTATAGTAATTACTGACCTTTAAAAGCATCAGCTTGTTGTTCCACAGTTTCTTTAACCATTTTCCAGAATAACTCTGACACAGACATACTAAGGTTTTGTGTATTTGTTGTACTTGGTTTTAGCACACCATCTCTGTAAAATAAACAAGTGTGCTGATTATTATTGTAATTATATGTCAAACTGGCTTTAAAAGTCACCTCTTTAAAGCAAAATCTGTCTTGTCTACCTCTTCTTGTCCAATAAGAGTTAAATTTATGCATCAAAGGTCACCTCTCTTATATTGCCAGTTTTCCTGGTCCTGAAGATGACCTTTATATACAGGGTTGACTTTAGTTTAGTTCCTTCATGAGTTAAATCAATTGGATTTTGAAAAGATTTATGTTATTTAAAGCCATTTTTCTGTATGTCCAACTTGCAAATGATGTATATTTTATTTGGAGATGTTTTGAAAAATATGCAGTCTGACATTTTTAAATGAAAATAGATTCTATTGAAAGTATACAGAATTTTTGTCATGGAAGTAAAAGTAGTCAGGGCAATAAGGCCCTTATATGGCCCAAATATAAGTGCATATTTTAAAGTTGCCATACATATTCCTTAATTTTTCCTAACTATACTTAGGTACAAGGATGTTTAGAAATTAAAGTTTATTTTCGCATTAAAAGAATAACCAAAGCAACAAACTATGTTAGAATTTGTATCTTTGTCAAATATCCTTGTTTTGAACATCATAACATCAAAATGCATGTGTAATCCATTTATTTTTCTTGATCGTTTGCATTTACAAACATTATGTGCAAATTTTAAAATAATTCTCAAAAACTTAATTTTCTTGGTCCAAAAAAGGCCTTAATGCTCCTTTCTTCAGGTCAATTCTATAAAATTTAATGTGTGATGGTTATTTGAAGTATAAAAAATTACCCATAGAAAGTATGTTGCTTGTGTGAGATTATGGCAGCTACTTCCTACCATCAAATGGAATTAGTAAGTGTAAGTAAAGCATGAATTTTTTTCTTGAAACTACTTGAAGTGAAAAAAACTTCATGATATGATGAATAATTTCAAAATAGATAGCAATTTCATTCGAAAGTCACATATCAATGTAAATAAGATGATTATGTCATATCAATTTTTTGATTTATCAATCTGAAAGTGCATGCTAAATTGTCTTTGCACATAGATATGGATGTTTTGGGTCCTACTTAATAACCCTTAACCTTACTAAGGCAAACTATAGCGATATCTTCTACATACAAATAATGTGAAAATCCCATTTGTACTTACTTTTATATAGTCTGTATACTGTCATTACTGTTACCTATAAAAAAGAAATAAACTGTTTACACAGAGATATTTCGTGCCTGTCAGCAGATAATTCAGAAGAAGACAATCTGATGGACAGAAACATTGCTATTTAATTCAAAGTTGCAGGACCATAACATAGAGGGCGGCACCTCAACATGATTGTCAAACTGAGATATACTGAATGTATTGCAACTTTATAGAAAATATTATTGATCTATCACAAATAGTTCCTATCAAACTTTTGCAGAAAACAATTGTTGACGCCAACGAGACAAAAATTAAATATTTGGCAGATCTTATTAAATGGCTTTTAGAAATTTCAATCAATTTGAAGTTATCAAACTTTTATAAATCATGCTAATATCCTTGATACTATTTATTCTGAACAGCATGCATATGAAGTTCATCCTCTTCAATTCACAGATCTATCTCAACAAATTTCATCAAACCAAAATTATTTGTCTACAGTAGGGCAAGTGAAAGATTCAATTTTTGTGTGTTTTCTTATAGTCTTTGAGTCATCAGCCATATTTCTTATTGTTGCACATTTTGTAAAATTTGGAATGAAAAGGCCATATCTAAAAGAAAACTTGTGGTTGTCTTTTGTTACTGTATGTTATATCTGTTTTTTTGTTTCTTGTTTTGTACATAAATCAGGACGTTGGTCTTCTTTTTAGCTTGCAATGAGGTATGGGTTTTGCTCATTGTTGAAGGCAATACTGTGACCTGTAGTTGCTAACATCTACATCAGTTGGTCTCTGGTGGATGATTGCTTATTGGCAATAATACATCTTTTATTTTTATATTGCTCTTTTGGACACATCATAGCTTTAAAATAAATTCAATATAATTTTAAAATAAACTTACCCTTTCCAGTAACTACTGCAAAATAAGCCAACGCATTCATAGGGAACAATTGTCCTGCCAGTATTTGTTTAATCTGCAAAAAGTCAAACACGGTACTAATTATCAACATGAATACTACTGTGGATTCATTATCCCTCGTTGGATACTAATTTTCATGGATTTTACTGGTAAATGCAATCCACAAATATAAATGTTTAACAAATGCAAAAATTGGGAAACCAACCTAATCAAGTATTAAAAAAATGCATTTTTTTCTCAATCCAAAAAAATTGGTAACCACGAAAGTTATTGACTCACAGTATATATTTTTGCTTTCCAAAATAATCATACTCAATGGTCCAAAATAATCATACTCAATGGTTCAAAATAATCATACTCAATGATCCAAAATAATCATACTCAATGGTTCAAAATAATCATACTCAATGGTCCAAAATAATCATACTCAATGATCCAAAATAATCATACTCAATGGTTCAAAATAATCATACTCAATGGTCCAAAATAATCATACTCAATGATCCAAAATAATCATACTCAATGGTTCAAAATAATTTTGAAGCAAAACAACTAAACATGGTAAATACAAAGAATAAAAATATTATGTTTGACATCTGAACAAAGGCTGTCATTATGAAAATCATTTGTCTTACCCTCTCTGGCTTAACTAAGTTATTTTCCACCATATCAGCCTTGGTAAGAACAAATATTGTACGTTTTCCTTGTGGATCTGTCTCTCTCACAATGTCAGTAACATTACTTCTAGCAGCATCTAAAGACCCAGCTGTAAATGTAAGAAAAATCCTACAATATCTGTAACTTTTGATTAATTACCCAAAGCAATAGAATTTATGTGCAGCAGTGGCAGGGCAAATACCTTAAGTTTGAAAATCAAATACTAATGTCTGTCTCAAATGCAGTTTCAGATGAGTAGTAAAGCCCAGCCAGCAAAATTATAATTTGTTGGAATCAAATCCTAAACAGATACTGGAAGCTCTTGAAATAAGTAATTGTACTATAAAAGATATAATTTGGTAGGGTTTTTGTTGCTCAGTCTTTAGTTTATTATGTTGTGTTTGTATACTGTTGTTTGTGTTTTGGTCTATTTTCTTTTTTGCCATGGCGATGTCAGTTTATTGTCAACTTTTGAGTTTGAATGTCCCGAGTGTCCCTTTGGTATCTTTCGCCTCTCTGTTAAAGGAGATTTAAAAACTTTAAACATTGAAATGAATTAAAATTGAGGGAAATACAATTGGCAAATTTGATGTATTAATATAATGGAAAAAAACGATGTCAAGCTAGGACAAGGAAAAACACAATGTCAAGCTAGGGCAAGGAAAAACACAATGTCAAGCTAGGGCAAGGAAAAACACAATGTCAAGCTAGGGCAAGGAAAAACACAATGTCAAGCTAGGACAAGGAAAAACACGATGTCAAGCTAGGGCAAGGAAAAACACAATGTCAAGCTAGGACAAGGAAAAACACGATGTCAAGCTAGGGCAAGGAAAAACACGATGTCAAGCTAGGGCAAGGAAAAACACGATGTCAAGCTAGGGCAAGGAAAAACACGATGTCAAGCTAGGGCAAGGAAAAACACAATGTCAAGCTAGGGCAAGGAAAAACACGATGTCAAGCTAGGGCAAGGAAAAACACGATGTCAAGCTAGG